TAGAACTGAACTAGAACTGAACTAGAACTGAACTAGAACTGAACTAGAACTGAACTAGAAACTGAACTAGAACTGAACTAGAAACTGAACTAGGACTGAAGTAGAACTGAACTAGAACTGAACTAGAACTGAACTAGAACTGAACTAGAACTGAACTAGAACTGAACTAGAACTGAACTAGAACTGAACTAAACTGAACTAGAACTGAACTAGAACTGAACTAGAACTGAACTAGAACTGAACTAGAACTGAACTAAACTGAACTAGAACTGAACTAGAACTGAACTAGAACTGAACTAGAACTGAACTAGAACTGAACTAGAACTGAACTAGAACTGAACTAGAACTGAACTAGAACTGAACTAGAACTGAACTAGAAAGAACTAGAACTGAACTAGAACTGAACTAGAACTGAACTAGAACTGAACTAGAACTGAACTAGAACTGAACTAGAACTGAACTAGAACTGAACTAGAACTGAACTAGAACTGAACTAGAACTAAACTAGAACTGAACTAGAACTGAACTAGAACTGAACTAGAACTGAACTAGAACTGAACTAGAACTGAACTAGAACTTAACTAGAACTTAACTAGAACTTAACTGGAACTGAACTAGAACTGAACTAGAACTAAACTAGAACTGAACTAGAACTGAACTAGAACTGAACTAGAACTGAAATTAGTTTTTCTATTTAGAGTAAGAAGTTTGTTAAGAGATTTTTTAATATCCTTTGAAAACTGTATGAAATTACAAACAAATTAGGAGAATTTTGGTATATTTTTCAGTTAGCAACATGTTGCTAACGGTTTAATTTTAGAAAACAGGTGTAGCTTTATGTTGCCAAATAAATAATTGATCTAAAGTGTTGAAATTATAAAAATATTTTAAATAGGATAGATATTAAGATAATTCGTGTAAATTTTGTCGTATCAACATGTTGCTTACAGTTTAATTCATAAAAATTTGCTCATCAAATGTTTTCAGTAGAAGTCTTTAAAGAAAAAACATATAAGAAAACATGCAAAATAATAAGAAGGATGTTAACAATGTTTTTATTTGAGGTCTTGGCAACATGTTGCCTAAAAATAGTAACTTATAAAACTGTTAAATATATATTTCCATTGGAATTATATAAAATTGCTTACACTAAATATTACAAAATATTTTATTAATATAATATTTTGTCTGCAATTCAACTATTTCAGATCTCAGCAACATGTTACAAGAACTCGAACATTATTAAACTCCTAGTTACATAATCTAATTTACATTATAAACAGCATTAATTACAGCGAAAAAGCAAATCATATAATTAAAACAAATCATACCTTATCATCCCTTTTTCTACTATTACAATCCTTTTGATAACAATACAAATGCATACAAAAACACAAAAAATTTGTTCGCACCTGGAAGCATGCAAGTATTGCAAAACAAATTTTAATGTACGGTTTTTTTTTTTTCAACAAACAAACTTCAAAATGCATTTAACTTTTAAAAGTGAAACGGAGAGAAGGGTTTATTTCCAAAAAGGGGTTAAACATTAACGTTAACCTAGGGTTTACAATATTTATATAATAAACATATTTAAACTAGGGGCACGTGTTTAATAATGTTCTCTACAAAAAAAAAAATATTTTAAATTTTTAATGTTTGAAAAAAGGGCTGTTTTGTTTTCTTTTTTGTTCCCTACAATTGTAATACAAATAGAGAAGAAAAAAACATGACTCTCATCCTTTTTTTTCATTCTTGTCCTGTATACAAGGCAAAAATCCCATAAAAATTATAAAATATTATTATTGTTGTTGTTGCTTGTGTGTGTGTGTGTGCGAGCCAGACACCAAGGATAACGAGCTCAAAAAGCAATGCAGCAAATTAGCGTTGAACATAACATTTATTATGTGTACAATGTTTTATATGTAATTTTTGGGGGTTTTTGAAGAAAAAAAGAATACATATAAAATAAAATTTATAAAGAATTATGAACAAAAATATTAATATGTATTTATTTTTATATTTTTTATATTTCCAAAAAAATTGTTTCAGTTTCATTTAATGATTTCGTAAGAAAAGTAAAGTTATTGTATACTTTGTAAGAGGGAGCAGTTAACATGTCTATGCATGTTTTAAATTGCCTTTTAGTATGTTATTTTAATTTTAATTTTAATATTTCTTTTTTTGTTGAGACCTGCGTGGCTATTAAGGATTATTATGTAAATTGTTTATTTTGTGTTTATATTTTTATTATCAAAAAAAATATATATATTTTGTAAGTAACAAAAAAGGTAGTTAGTTACAAATTTCTGAGAATAAATTATTGTGTTAATGATTGGGTTAAATGAATTGAAAGTTATAATAAAAGTAAATTTGGAAAAAATACTTGAGGGGTTTACAGCAAAAATTGTTGGTAAACTTGGTGGGCGAGAGTGAATTTAAAATAAGAAAAGTTTTTTAATGGGTGTTTAAGCACGGCTAAGTGGTAAAGAAAACTATTAAATATTTAAAATTCTAAAAGGGTGGTTTTCAAGAAAAGGCTTATTAATAGAAAAGTTTAGGAAAATATCCAAGTTACACTGGGTAATATCAATTTTGACTCTAAAAATATTCAAAATTCTTTAAAAAGAAAAAATGTTCAAAGATTGTATTTAAAAACACCTAATTAAAGACACTGAATTAGAACTGAACTAGAACTATAATAGAACAACTACAACAGAACTAGAACTGCACTAGAAGTGAACTAAAACTAAATTAGAACTGAATGAGAACTGAACTAGAACTGAACAAGAACTGAACTAGAACTGAATTAGAACTGAATGAGAACTGAATGAGAACTGAACTAGAACTGAACTAGAACTGAACTAGAACTGAACTAGAACTGAACTAGAACTGAACTAGAACTGAACTAGAACTGAACTAGAACTGAACTAGAACTGAACTAGAACTGAACTAGAACTGAACTAGAACTGAACTAGAACTGAACTAGAACTGAACTAGAACTGAACTAGAACTGAACTAGAACTGAACTAGAACTGAACTAGAACTGAACTAGAACTGAACTAGAACTGAACTAGAAACTGAACTAGAACTGAACTAGAAACTGAACTAGAACTGAACTAGAACTGAACTAGAACTGAACTAGAACTGAACTAGAACTGAACTAGAACTGAACTAGAACTGAACTAGAACTGAACTAGAACTGAACTAGAACTGAACTAGAACTGAACCTAAACTGAACTAGAAATGAACTAGAACTGAACTAGAACTGAACTAGAACTGAACTTAGAAACTGAACTAGAACTGAACTAGAACTGAACTAGAACTGAACTAGAACTGAACTAGAACTGAACCTAAGAACTGAACTAGAACTGAACTAGAACTGAACAGAACGGAACTAGAACTGAACTAGAACTGAACTAGAACTGAACTAGAACTGAACTAGAACTGAACTAGAACTGAACTAGAACTGAACTAGGAACTGAACTAGAACTGAACTAGAAACTGAACTAGAACTGAACTAGAACTGAACTATAACTGAACTAGAACTGAACTAGAACTGAACTAGAACTGAACTAGAACTGAACTAGAACTGAACTAGAACTGAACTAGAACTGACTAGAACTGAACTAGAACTGAACTAGAACTGAACTAGAACTGAACTAGAACTGAACTAGAACTGACGAGAACTGAACTAGAACTGAACTAGAACTGAACTAGAACTGAACTAGAACTGAACTAGAACTGAACTAGAACTGAACTGGAACTGAACTAGAACTGAACTAGAACTGAACTAGAACTGAATGAACTAGAACTGAACTAGAACTGAACTAGAACTGAACTAGAACTGAACTAGAACTGAACTAGAACTGAACTAGAACTGAACTAGAACTGAACTAAAGAAAACTAGAACTAAACTAGAACTAAACTAACTAGAACTAAACTAGAAAAACTAGAACTAAACTAGAACTAAACTAGAACTGAACTAGAACTAAACTAGAACTGAACTAGAACTGAACTAGAACTGAACTAGAACTGAACTAAAACTGAACTAGAACTGAACTAGAACTGAACTAGAACTGAACTAGAACTGAACTAGAACTGAACTAGAACTGAACTAGAACTGAACTAGAACTGAACTAGAACTGAACTAGAACTGAACTAGAACTGAACTAGAACTGAACTAGAACTGAACTAGAACTGAACTAGAACTGAACTAGAACTGAACTAGAACTGAACTAGAACTGAACTAGAACTGAACTAGAACTGAACTAGAACTGAACTAGAACTGAACTAGAACTGAACTAGAACTGAACTAGAACTGAACTAGAACTGAACTAGAACTGAACTAGAACTGAACTAGAACTGAACTAGAACTGAACTAGAACTGAACTAGAACTGAACTAGAACTGAACTAGAACTGAACTAGAACTGAACTAGAACTGAACTAGAACTGAACTAGAACTGAACTAGAACTGAACTAGAACTGAACTAGAACTGAACTAGAACTGAACTAGAACTGAACTAGAACTGAACTAGAACTGAACTAGAACTGAACTAGAACTGAACTAGAACTGAACTAGAACTGAACTAGAACTGAACTAGAACTGAACTAGAAAACTGAACTAGAACTGAACTAGAACTGAACTAGAACTGAACTAGAACTGAACTAGAACTGAACTAGAACTAGAACTGAACTAGAACTGAACTAGAACTGAACTAGAGCAGTCATTGAACTGAACTAGAACTGAACTAGAACATTACGCAGCCTTCCCCTCCCTAAATCTTAAAGTTTTTTAATATAACACAAATGTTCAATATTTCCCAATTATTTTTTTCAAATTCCTTTGTCTAAAAAAAACTTCCATCAATTAATCCCTTTTATAAATATTTATTTAACAATTATGCTGCTAAATTTAACCCTTTAAATATGCTACATATTTTTCTTCTTATTTTATCTTAATATGTATGTAATTAATAAAAAATTTATAGAAAAAATTTACCTGCTAGAATGATTGGGTTCATGGGCAAATGGTTCTGCATATATATTACGTACTGGTGGTACCCGACGTGGTAAGGGTGGAGGTACTGGATTATAACCATCCATAATAGTATCACAATCGGAGTATTTCATTGATTTCATAGTCATTTTGTAGGATTGTTTTTTATTAATTTATTTGTAAAATTATTTATAATAATAATACTTTTTGTGTGTGTGTTTGTTTAATTTAAAATGACTATAAATGTTTTTAAGTTGTTTGAGGTGATTTGTAAAATGTTTTTCATTTAATTGAAAGAGACAGACAACAAGTTCGAGAGAAAAATTTAATAAAAGGAAAAACTTTTTTTTGGTTTTCCCAGTTATTTTTTTATTGCAAACTTTTTGCAATTGCAGTTATTATTTCAGGCAGCTTTTTTTTCTGTGTGGCAGACACACGCGTTCAATTTTTTATTGTTATTATTATTATTTCAATTTAAACGCTTTTTTGTTCCGTTGATGTTGAAAGGTAAATACTGTTGAAATTGTTTTATAATATTATTGGTTGGTTTAAAAACATGTATCTTTGTGTGTTTTTGGTTAAATTAAACCGTTTTTCATTTGTGGTTAATAATAATTTCTTTTGTATATAATTTAACTCATTTTATTTTTATGCTTTTTTTCTGTTATTAAGAATTTAATGGCAGAACTGGGATATTTTTTTGTTATTTGTTTTACTTTTTGTTATTTATCCTTTTGTTTTTCAAACAAATAACAATAAAAGTTTTGCATTTTTGTGCCATTTAAGCACAAAAAATGCTTAATAATTAATTAATCTTTTATTAATGTGTATGTGTTGTCTTTCGTTTTTTTTTCTTCTAGTAATTAAAATGTTTATAGTTTTCACAAAATAGTTTACGTTAAATGTATAAGTTGTTTTATTAATTAAATAATTAATTAATATTTATACATTATTTTACTTATAAGCTGCCATTTTTTCGTTTCGATTTTTAAATTTAACCTAGAAATAAAATAAACAGAAATAATAAGATTAATTATATTTTATTGTAAATATAAAGTTTGTACCATTTTTGTTTTCCTTTTTATTGTGTTGAACCAAATACTTTGTGCTTTTTTATGAAATTTTAATTTATTCATTTTCTAGTTTGTGGTATGAGTATAAAAAAATTTTAAAATAATCATCACCTCCTACGGTTGCGTGTGTTATAGAAATTACATATTTTGATATGATACAAATTTATAATCAACCATTCATTCATTACTTCAGACATTCATCATAGGTATGTTTTTTTTTTTTGGTTAACAAATATATTTTGCTCTCATTCCCTTCATTAGGGCGAAATTTAATTCAGTCATTCTGTTTTTGACTTTTAAGTAGAATTGTCAGTTATGATACCTTTATAGTCCTGAATTAGAAATGTCCATGTGTTTTAGTTCAGTTCTATCTCAGTTCTAGTTCAGTTCTAGTTCATTTAGTTCAGTTCTATTCAGTTCTAGTTCAGTTCTAGTTCAGTTCTAGTTCAGTACTAGTTCAGTTCTAGTTCAGTTCTAGTTCAGTTCTAGTTCAGTTCTAGTTCAGTTCTAGTTCAGTTCTAGTTCAGTTCTAGTTCAGTTCAGTTAGTTCAGTTCTAGTTCAGTTCTAGTTCAGTTCTAGTTCAGTTCTAGTTCAGTTCTAGTTCAGTTCTAGTTCAGTTCTAGTTCAGTTCTAGTTCTCTAGTTCAGTTCTAGTTCAGTTCTAGTTCAGTTCTAGTTCAGTTCTAGTTCAGTTCTAGTTCAGTTCTAGTTCAGTTCTAGTTCAGTTCTAGTTCAGTTCTAGTTCAGTTCTAGTTCAGTTCTAGTTCAGTTCTAGTTCAGTTCTAGTTCAGTTCTAGTTCAGTTCTAGTTCAGTTCTAGTTCAGTTCTAGTTCAGTTCTAGTTCAGTTCTAGTTCAGTTCTAGTTCAGTTCTAGTTCAGTTCTAGTTCAGTTCTAGTTCAGTTAAGTTTTCTAGTTCAGTTCTAGTTCAGTTCTAGTTCAGTTCTAGTTCAGTTCTAGTCAGTTCTAGTTCAGTTCTAGTTCAGTTCTAGTTCAGTTCTAGTTCAGTTCTAGTTCAGTTCTAGTTCAGTTCTAGTTCAGTTCTAGTTCAGTTCTAGTTCAGTTCTAGTTCAGTTCTAGTTCAGTTCTAGTTCAGTTCTAGTTCAGTTCTAGTTCCAGTTCTAGTTCAGTTCTAGTTCAGTTTCTAGTCAGTTCTAGTTCAGTTCTAGTTCAGTTCTAGTTCAGTTCTAGTTCAGTTCTAGTTCAGTTCTAGTTCAGTTCTAGTTCAGTTCTAGTTCAGTTCTAGTTCAGTTCTAGTTCAGTTTCTAGTTCAGTTCTAGTTCAGTTCTAGTTCAGTTCTAGTTCAGTTCTAGTTCAGTTCTAGTTCAGTTCTAGTTCCGTTCTAGTTCAGTTCTAGTTCAGTTCTAGTTCAGTTCTAGTTCAGTTCTAGTTCAGTTCTAGTTCAGTTCTAGTTCAGTTCTAGTTCAGTTCTAGTTCAGTTCTAGTTCAGTTCTAGTTCAGTTCTAGTTCAGTTCTAGTTCAGTTCTAGTTCAGTTCTAGTTCAGTTCTAGTTCAGTTCTAGTTCAGTTCTAGTTCAGTTCTAGTTCAGTTCTAGTTCAGTTCTAGTTCAGTTCTAGTTCAGTTCTAGTTCAGTTCTAGTTCAGTTCTAGTTCAGTTCTAGTTCAGTTCTAGTTCAGTTCTAGTTCAGTTCTAGTTCAGTTCTAGTTCAGTTCTAGTTCAGTTCTAGTTCAGTTCTAGTTCAGTTCTAGTTCAGTTCTAGTTCAGTTCTAGTTCAGTTCTAGTTCAGTTCTAGTTCAGTTCTAGTTCAGTTCTAGTTCAGTTTCTAGTTCAGTTCTAGTTCAGTTTCTAGTTCAGTTCTAGTTCAGTTCTAGTTCAGTTCTAGTTCAGTTCTAGTTCAGTTCTAGTTCAGTTCTAGTTCAGTTCTAGTTCAGTTCTAGTTCAGTTCTAGTTCAGTTCTAGTTCAGTTCTAGTTCAGTTCTAGTTCAGTTCTAGTTCAGTTCTAGTTCAGTTCTAGTTCAGTTCTAGTTCAGTTCTAGTTCAGTTCTAGTCAGTTCTAGTTCAGTTCTAGTTCAGTTCTAGTTCAGTTCTAGTTCAGTTCTAGTTCAGTTCTAGTTCAGATTCTAGTTCAGTTCTAGTTCAGTTCTAGTTCAGTTCTAGTTCCAGTTCTAGTTCAGTTCTAGTTCAGTTCTAGTTCAGTTCTAGTTCAGTTCTAGTTCAGTTTTCTAGTTCAGTTTCTAGTTCAGTTCTAGTTCAGTTCTAGTTTCAGTTCTAGTTATCAGTTCTAGTTCAGTTCTAGTTCAGTTCTAGTTCAGTTCTAGTTCAGTTCTAGTCAGTTCTAGTTATTCTAGTTCAGTTCTAGTTCAGTTCTAGTTCAGTTCTAGTTCAGTTCTAGTTCAGTTCTAGTTCAGTTCTAGTTCAGTTTCTAGTTCAGTTCTAGTTCAGTTGTCTAGTTCAGGTTCTAGTTTCAGTAGTTCTAGTTCAGTTTTTTAGTTTCAGTTCTAGTTCCAGTTCTAGTTCAGTTCTAGTTCAGTTCTAGTTCAGTTCTAGTTTCAGTTCTAGTTCAGTTCTAGTTCAGTTCTAGTTCAGTTCTAGTTCAGTTCTAGTTCAGTTCTAGTTCAGTTCTAGTTCGTCTGTTCAGTTCTAGTTCAGTTCTAGTTCAGTTCTAGTTCAGTTCTAGTTCAGTTCTAGTTCAGTTCTAGTTCAGTTCTAGTTCAGTTCTGGTTCAGTTCTAGTTCAGTTCTAGTTCAGTGCTAGTTCAGTTCTAGTTCAGTTCTAGTTCAGTTCTAGGGTATCTAAGATTCGTTTCATACATACTTTTTCTATTTTTTTTTTTTTTTTTTTTTTGTTAAATAATTACATTTAATCACTCTTACGAATGTTTTTTGTTGATTAGCGTTTATTCAGTTTTTTTCTTCATTACTATTATTTATAATTAAATGTAAATGGGTTAACAGAATTATGAATAAAATATTATAGAAAATTATGTTAATAACAGGGTTGTAATTAATAGTTGGTTATGTAAAACATATGTTTTTCAAATTACTACTCCCCTCTTTAAAGAAAATATAATTAAATTTCTCAAACAATTTAAACAATTTGTTTAAAGTATATTTAAACTAACCCCTCTAACCCAATAGTTAAACGAAAGCCCTTTTGGTAGAAAATAACATAAATAATTGATAAAAATAATAAAAATATTTCTAAAGCAGTGTTAGGCAAATGCAGCCAACAGGAACCTAATTGAAACTATTTACATGGTTACAAGACGAATTTCAACAAATCTCTTAGAAATAAATAAACCGGCAGCAACTTTAAAGTTTTCAATTCTTTTGTAGTTCAAAATGTTTATAAGATTTTCTCTTTATGTTCATCATCGATCTCAATATGGTGAAAGCACACAAACAGCTTTTAATACCGCCCTAGAAAGTTTAACTATAAGGTAGTCTCGTTATGCAGATCACCGTTATAAAAAAAGTTAATTTAAGTGAACACTAAAGTTAATAGTGCTGCCCTGTATATTTTAGGTCAATAAATGCTTGTATAATTTATTTTCTTTATATTAAAAAATCAAAGAATTTAATATTAATTGAATGCTATTGAAAACATTTAATTCGTTTTTAATTTACTATATTTCTGCGGAATTGCAGATCATGATTCACTAAAGTTTTTAATCCTTTATTTATGATAAAAATTAAATGATTTTATTTTTGTCTACAATTATTAACACTTTTATGATAAAACATTTTCGATAATAAAATATATGAATAAAAATCAATTAATAGCAATTTCACGGTAAATAATACTGGTATTGTTTTCTTAATTTTTCAAAAAAAAAAAATTAAGCAAATCATGATAAAAATGATCAAACACTCCAAAAATGTAAATTGAAAAAAAAAAATTAAGAAATGTTAACATAAATTCCCACCCCTTCAAATTACAAGTTATAATATCACAACATCATCTTCATCATCATACTCTTGACAGATCAGATCATATATCAAAGTGCACCAACAAACATTTATCAAGGTGTGTGGTTTCCTCCAAAAACATAATTTATATAACGAACAAGTAAAATTATTAAATCCAAAAACATTTTATTGAATATTGGCATTTTTTCCATAGTCATGATCTTAGATTGTTTTCAAAAACAACAAATTTATAAACTGTTTTTGTTTAATATGTTTAATGTTTAAGCATGATTTTTTTTTTTTTTTTTTTGTGTGTTTGATGATGAGTAGTTGATTTTTTCCCTTCTATTACAAATATCTTTTTATACTTATGTGTTTTTTTTTTTGTAAACGGGAAGTGGATTTAGGTTTTAGTATGTGTATAATATAATTTATATAACATCAAGGGATTTTCATTTCAAATTAAGTTTATGATAAGGCATAAATGGCAAAAAAAAACTTAACAAACAAACCTCAAACACTTGTCTCGTCTAAAAAGGAAGAGAAGTCATCATGCCAAAAGAAAAACTAAGAAAAGTCAATACGAACTGCAAGGGCAGTACAATTGTGGATAATTAATATACATATGTTTACAATATTTACTATAAAAAGTAAATTTTTGCAATATTTACTATTGATATTGAAAATTTGCAATATTTACTATAGATATTGAATATTTACTACGGATTTTTACTATAGGTAGCAAAACTTGGCAATATTTACTATAGATAGCACATAATTTCCCTTTTTTATAGAATTTAATAACAATTTACATTATTTACTACAAATACTAAGTATTTGCAATATTTACTATAGATTGCAAATATTTGCAATATTTACTACATTTACTAAACATGTAAATATTAGCAATATTTCTACATATTGTAAATTTGTATATAATTTGATACTCGATCATTAAATGGGCAAGTTAATGATTACGTTTACATCACCGATTTCTCTTACGTAGGGTACCTTACAATATATACTAAGGTATGCAACCTTTAACACCATTATAAAACA